CATAGTGGGTAATTGTTGAATTCATTTGTAAATTGTAATACACAAGGGTACATGTTAAACAATATAATACCATGAAATATCATTTTAAAAGTAAACTGAAATATCATCTGTGATCATGTATCAATACAACTAAAATAATATTCAAATGAAAAAAGTAAGGCAATATTAAATGTATAAAATCATCATACACATTTCAAACTAATCTTTTCTAAGCTTCCCGAGGCTGATTACTACAAGAACGCATATTGTAACCTACAATGTCACATGTACTGCATGTATTTGTCCCCTTATTTTCAAACACCTCTCTTGCTGATTTTTCGCGAGACTTTTTTCTTGATCTTCAAGGAGACCTTTTGAATTCTGGAGGCAGAACTAAATCAATCATTATGTATCAAGGGACCACCCACTCTGTTTTATCTAGCGATGGGTATATTGGAAATCATAAGTCTTCAACACTATTGTCGGTGTGTATAAATTCGACAAAAATTCATCTGGTCCTAAACTCTTGAACTTCAGAACAGCCTAAGCATGTCCACATGGCATTTCTTCATATTGAAAGCTTCCACAAGTACACTTTTTCTTCTGGAGACAAACTAAATAATTTTTACCTTTATCATTGACATTGTTAACATATTCTGTTGATGAAAAAATATGAAATATACAAAAATAAATCAAAATAGATTAGTATGTACAAATTTAGACAAATATAAGAAAATTATACCATCATTCGTGTACTCATTGCTTCATTAATTTTGAGTGTCTCCTGAAATTTTTCAATCAAGGGAGTAAATGCTAATGATACCTCATTTTTGTTATCATAATTTCATATGTTAAAATTAGCCTAACTTCCTCTAGAAAATCATAAATTGACAATTCTCTTGCTGAAACTAATGCCGCATTTATATTTTCTGCGATATTCGATGTCATTGATGAACCACGATGAACTGGTGCATCCATTCTAAACCATTTATCATATCCATCCAATTTAAAATATTCCTTTACTCATATCTGTTTTCTCTACTATTTTCATTCGTCTATCAAAATCTGACTGATTACATGTCTTAGCATTGTAAACAATACTGGACGTAACATTTCATGGAATTTTCTGTACTTTGTCTGAACATTCTTTAAAAGGTGTCACATACAAGCATAGTATTGCACATTATTATACACTTGTGTAACAACCTTTATGATGCTTTCTTTTCTATCAGACACAATACACATATTGTTCCTTTCCCCATATTATTCTCTTAGTTGTTCAAAAAATTATGTCCAAGAGGCATCATTCTCTGAATCTAAGACACCATATACTAGTGGGAAGATATGACCTACACATACATATTTATAAGTTACAGAGTTGGAGATTATAAGTATATATACAAAGAGTTATGTATAAGAGTCATTAAAAATTCATATATTTATATATAATATAAAATGCATATTTATATACCTGCAGCGTCAGTCGTAGTAGCTGCTACAAAAGTTTCATTATAAGGTCCTCAAAGATGACACCCATCATTATAAGGTCCTCAAAAGTTTCATCTGTTTTCTGCAAGTGTATATGGGATCATGGATATGTAATACCCAATATATACAAATACGAAGGTAATTTGTTGTACGATCCTCCTAGCGTCCCCCTCAAGGAAATAAAACCCCTTTCTTTAGCTCTCCAAGCCAACATGTAAGATATATCAACACCAAGATCCAACTTCATAACTTTTTTTATGTCAGAAGGTGCGTATTTCCTTTTATGATCTACCAATTTAGGCTTAACATTTCCATCACCTATGTTGCTTGTTACATGTCATTGTGAATAAACCCTAGCTTTCAGTGAACATATATGTTCAACATTGAACGCTCTTATTCTACACATTCCTGATTTATTAATATATGAGGCCTTCATTAACCAGTTGCATTCATTGGAGAAACACACAAGTGTATAACTATACGTAACATTATTAAGATATACATATAAGTCAAAATTATACACCTAATAACAGTTGAACAAATTTATACAAATGATGTTACCTGATTGAATTTGATTTTTTTTTCTTAAATTGGGATTGTACTGCAATTGCATATTGCTCCGTCACGCACTTCAATGTAGCTTTATTATTGTACACGTGATCTACCTTTACATACTTATATGATGGATCAGTAATCACCATACTGCAATTCTCCATTTGAAAGGTATCGAGGGGATGTACTATCTCTTCAACTATCAGTTTCTGTTTATCAAATTTCTCAAAACCAGTTATACAAAGTGATCCCAAAATATCATACGTTGCGTTAGTTGATCTTTCACAAAGTTCATTGTTCTGATAATACCTATTAGAGATAATTATACAAATAGGGTATTTGTTAAATTCATTTATGGACTTTTTTAGCATAACATATATCTGCACCCCCATCTCATTGCGTATCACCATCCTAGTACTGCTCTGATCAACCTTATATTCATACACAGTCACATCCACAGATAGTTGAGTTGCAATTATATTATATAACTTTTTTAAAGAGGCATTTTCTCTAAAAACAACTCCCTCAATAACATAGTAAGCATAACATCATCATCCCATTTATCAAAATGCATTACCAAGATAGTTATGGAAGACATTCCTGTATACAATCAAATATCAGTATAAATCAGTTGTTATTAATACATTTATACATGCACTAATCATACAATTTTACAAATCAAAGTCACTATATAAAAATTAATTTATACAATAATTAACACAATTCAATTCTTCCAACTTTTTATACAATTAATCACCGAAATAACTCAGTTATACATCTACAAATATAACAATCTACATTTATATGAACACTAACTTATACAGTCACTAAAAACACATAAACTACAAATATCAATGAATTGCTATTTGAATATCAATGAATTATACATATTCAAATAGCAATTCAACTGAAACTAATTTATACAATTTTACCAATCTAAATCACTCTATACAAACTAAATTATATAAAAATTAACTTTTTTATAATTAATCACTAAAACAACTTAGTTATACATCTACAGATATAACAGTCTATGTTTATACGCACACTAACTTATACAATCACTAATTAAACATATATTACATATATCAATGAATTATACATATACAACTCGCAATTCAACTACAACTAATTTATACAATTTACAAATCTAAATCACTCTATACAAACTAAATTATACAAAAATTTACTTTATACAATTAATCACTGAAAACTGCTCAGTTATACATCTTCAGATATACCATTCTACGTTTATATAAACGCTAACTTATACAGTAACTAACTACACATAAGCTACAAATATCAATAAATTATAAATATACAAATCGCAATTCAACTAAACTAATTTATACAATTTTACAAATCTAAATCACTATATACAAACTAAATTATACAAAAATTAACTTTACACAATTAATCACTAAAACAACATTTTTACATCGACAGATATGACAATCAACGTTTATAGAAATACAAATTTATACAATCACTAACTACACATAAACTACAAATATCAATGAATTATACATATACAACTCGCAATTCAACTAAAACTAATTTATACAATTTTACAAATCTAAATCACTTTGTACAAACTAAATTATACAAAAGTTAACTTTATACAATTAATCATAGAAACAGCTAGGTTATACATCTACACATATAAAAGTCAACATTTATACGATACTAACTTACACTAACTACACGTAAACTACAAATATCAATGAAACATACATATTCAAATCACATTTCAACTAAATCTAGTTTATACAGTTTTACAAATCCAAATTACTCTATACAAACTAACTCCACTGGAAACAATTGAAACATACATTCAATCAAAGTTTTGATTATCGATGAAGATTTGATTTTTGATTAAGCAGTTTAAAAAATTGAAATAGTTTCTTCGACTTAAATATCAATCGATTGAGCCAAATCTCCAGAGCACAAAACAAAAAAAAGAGATGAAACTATATACCTAAACAGAATCAATTCATTGTATTGTGCACCTGTTGTATAATCAGTGATGAAATCGATGCCGATTCCATGATCTCAGAAGAAAATTGAGTTGCTGGCGGTGATTTGGGATCGGAGGTACTCGATTCTGTTGCAGAAGGAAGGTACTCAATTCTGCTGCGTGAATTAAGGTATTTATGCCCTCCGAGATTACCGACATTTACTTTTAAAAAATTGTGTATAAGTTATTACAGCTGTAGCAACTAGCTACTATTTGTAATTATCAAACTTTAGCTACATTGAATAATAATTTTAAATATAGTGGCTATTTTGTGAAAATTTCCCTTTAAATTTTGCACACCTAGTTTTTTCCAACATGATTTGTTTAAATCAGTGTATTATAATTCATCAGAATATAAGCCTACGAATATAATTGTTAGGAAGTTCAAAGAATTATATTTATCCTTGTTATAATAAGGTAAGAAAAAATTTCTCTATTGTAAAAGGGTAGACTTAAAGTCCAGCTGAATAACTATTTTGTTGCAGTTGAACTGCTGTTTAATAAGTAAGAATATCCCGCTAAAACACAAATATTGTGCTTAGGGGTATTTACAATTCAAATTAAAAAAATTAAATAAATTGATTTTATTTGGTTATATATTTATAAAAATAAATAATATTTAATTTGATTTTAGTTTGTCAATTTTTTTTTAAAGAAATAACATACAGAAATTCTACAAAAAACATTTTAAAAATAATATACCTATACTATATTTTTTTTATGAACAATTTTAAGTATCATATAGTACATGTTTTTACTTAAATTTATTTAAAAAATGAAGAAGCAAAAAGTGCCGATGGATACCCATAAATAAACTATTTGACAAATTTTTACACTTTCCGTATTAATTCTTTTTTATCCCAAAAAAAAAGGAAAAGAAAAGTAAATGCTTTTTTCTGGTCAAAATCTTATTCCACTATATATACCTCTTAGTCCAATTCGAAAACATCATCTCTGATTTTTGAATGATGAAAAAACAGAAGCTCGAAAACTATCAGGTATTTTATATATATATATATATAATAATAATTAAGAATCTTAAATTATTTCAAGTCTGTTCTTTACTTTTTGACTAATTATTATTATTAATAAAAATTTGTTGGAACAGATGGTGGGTGTGGATGCTGCAAAGAGTAAAGAGGAGAAGATGAAGATAATTTTCGACAAGTTTGATGTCAACAAAGATTCACATTTAGGGATAACAGAGTTGTTAGGATGGATCATGGCAGTTGAACCCACATTAAGTAACGATTTGCAAAGGCTTCCATTTCTCCTTCAAAATACTTGGGTAACCCCTCTTTCCTAGCTGGTTCAAAAGGACTATCCTATAGTGGTTTCACTCACATTTACGAAGAAGGTCATCGTAACTTTGATCATGACTTCAATACCATTAATATTCAGCCCCCAATTCACCAGGTATGTACCTTAGCTTGAATATGTTTCACAATGTGTCCTATTTTATATATTCGCTGTTTAATATGGAGTTTTTCATTGTTACATGTGAATTTTGTAAACTATCCTTTGTAGTGTGTATGAGATTAGTACGAAAAAGAATTTATTAGTGATGTTGAGATAATTGAGTTATGCGTGGATTATTTCTAATCCATAGTTTGGTATATTAGGGACAATTCTATCTTTAATGCCTTAATTTAGTGAAAATACCATGGCATGGCTAATACATGTATTATTTTCTCTGACCAAACACCCCTCAATGTATTCTAACATATTGTAGTGTATAATTAATCTATCGAATTATCAATGGAAGTATATACTGTTACAGGGATATGCCATTCGAGGTATTTTACAACAACAACAACGTAGCTTGATGCTTCAATCACAACTACAACAACAATACCAACAACAAGAACAACACCGTAGTTTGATGCTTCAATCACAATTAGTACAACAACAAGCACAACAATGTGCAAGTCTAGCGACAAATACTTTTTCAAACAACCTCAGAAACACAACGCAACAAGTGGTACAAATATCTCTTCTGCCATTCATATTATCTGAGAACATTTGATAATGTTGCTTTTTATGCCCATCATCTGCACTCTAATTGCGTACTGTATTTTAACAAAGTCCAACTTAAATAATTTTTATTTTTTACATAATTTTTTATATTATACCTTTCCAACTTTTTCTTGTTTTAGATTGCAATTCTTTTCTTTCTTTTTTTTGAATCTTGTACAGGGTGGAGGGATTAGCTCTGCTGGGCCGGTGTCTAATATCGGGATCACAGCACAACAAATGGTACAAATGATTCAACAGCCCTTAATATTATTCGGCAGCATCTAAGAATGTTGCTTTTTAGGCTATCATCTAGACTCAAATCACAAAGTATTTTACCAAACTACAATCTTAGTAATCTTTAATCTTTGTTGGAATTGTTATACATTTTGTCTTCCCTTTTCCAACTTTTTCTTGCATTAGGTTACAAAGTTTATTTGTTTATAAAATTCTTGTAGGGAGGAGTGATCAGCTCTGTTGTGCAAGTGAATAGTTATGGAAACACAAAGCAACAAGTGGTACAAATGCCTCATCTACCTGTGATAGTATCTAGACTCAAATCACAAATTATTTTACCATGCTCCAATTTTTAAACAATCTCTAATCTTTGCTAAATTTTTTTTCCTTTTTCCAACTTTAATTTTCTTGTTTTATGTTTCAAAGTTAATTTTTTTAAAAAAAAAAATGTAGGGAGGATTGTTTAACTCTGCTGCACAGGCGAATTGTAATGGAAACTCAGCGCAACAAGTGGTACAAATACCTAATCTACCTTTAATTCTCATCGAGAACGTTTAGTAGTGTTGTTTTTTAGGCCATCATTTAGACTCAAATCACAAATTATTTTATCAAACTCCAATCTCAAATAATCTTTACTCTTATCTAGAATTGTCATTTTATTTTGTTTTCCATTTTTCAACTTTTCTTGTTTAAGTTACAGAGTTTATTTTTGTGAAAAAAAATTTGTAGGGAGGAAATCTCAACTCTGCTGCTGAGGTGAACAAAAACGTAAACTCAGCTGAACAAGCGGTACAAATACTTTTTGTCTTTAACTATGCAAGAATATTTAAAATTATTGTCTTTTAGGCCATCACATAGACTCAAATCACAAAGTATTTTTCCCAACTCCAATCTTAAAAATCTCCGTTTACATAAAAGCAGTGGATTTTTGTTGTTACGTTGATAAAATCAAGTAACTATACTTTAAAGTATTGCAATTTTTTTAGAGCAGTTGATGTGCCGAAAGTGCAGAAAAGCTCCTTCTCTCTACTTAATACTAAGCTGAGACTTTAATTTCTTTGTACATAATGTTCTTACCATCCTTCTTTACAACTACCAGAATGCTGTAAAAGACGTCAAGTCAAAAGTAAAGTACGATGGATCTCATCCTGAATTGGCTGCTAGGCTTGAAAAGGAAATATTGGACACAAATCCAGGGGTAAAATGGGATGATGTTGCTGGACTAAGTGACGCAAAGAGGATTCTACAGGAAACAGTGGTACTCCCACTGTTTATGCCTGAGTATTTCCAGGTACTGCAGATAGTTGATTCTGAATATTAGTGTACTAATGAATGATGGGTGGGTGAATATATATATATATTTGGTAGGACAGAAGTAATATTTTAAGGAAAAATACTTCTCATCATTTTCTTGCGTCCAAAAAGTGAATAATCTCCCGTATGTATTAGTCACGTAACATACTATAATATTGAATGTTACTTGCAGCGAATCAGGAGACCTTGGAGAGGAGTTCTTATGTTTGGTCCTCCTGGCACAGGGAAAACACTCTTGGCCAAAGCTGTTGCTACAGAGTGTGGGATGACATTTATGAATATTTCCTGTAGTTCATTGTTTGGAAATTGGTATGGAGAGAGTGAACGGTTGACTAGGTGTTTATTTGAGCTTGCCCGTGCTCATGCACCAACTATGAATTTCATTGATGATATTGATTCTCTTTGCAGTGTCAGAGGGCAAAACAATAATCTTGGTTCTTTCTAAATTTATTTCATATAAGCTGAGTATTTTTCTCAGTACTAAGCTCTGAAGTTGTTTCTCAGGTCTGCTACAGAGCATGAAACATCCCGAAGGTTAAAGTCTGAACTTTTAGTTCAGATCGATGGATTAAATAACTCTAATAGTACATCAGGTAAAATGGTGACACTTTTGGCAGCAACAAATTTCCCTGGGAATCTTGACGAGGCACTAAGGTAAATAAGTGACACTTTTGATGATTCATTAATTTTGCTTCTGTTACTTTTCATTTGCATTCTGTTTAATCGTAATTCATTGTGCTACTGTAGGAGGCGGCTAGAAAAGCGTATTTACATCCCACTTCCTTATTTTGAGACCCGTAAGGAGCTTATACAGATAAACTTAAAATCAATCGAGGTAAGCTTTCCTTGTTTCAGCTGTCATTTTCTTATATGTTCTTCTGTTATATTATCGTCATAACCTCAAAAGAAATGTTCGATAATCAAAAGTCAATTACAGAAACTTTTTCTGACTTTTACAAAGAAAATTTTCATTTACATAGTAATAAACTATCAAGTTAAGTAAGCTATACTATGTTAGGTAGGACATAATCTATGTGAAATGTCACTTGCATAACTTGTATTCTCTAGTTCCCTTAGGGAAGTCATTCATTTTTCTTTAAGAAATGTGTTTTCTTAAAAAAAAGTTCAATTGTTTTTTTTATGGCAAGGGGAACCCGCAGGCTCTATCCTTTGGGTGCGGATAGGGTAAAAACGCCCGCTCCTATGCAATACCTTGGTAACCCGCACTAGGCAAGCTTGGTGCGACGAGCTCGACCCAGAAGACAAATCCCTTGCTTTCACTAGTAAGGGGTTTCGAACTTGAGACCTCTAACATGGAAGTTCCAAGCTCAACCAGCCTACTAAATATGGGAAAATTGATAGAGTGGGTTCAAAATGAGCCTGATCTCATTATACATTTTTCATTTCAATATCTTCTCACATTGCGTGTGATGTTTTAGCCGAGAGAAATGTCTTCATGTAGAACTGGCCCTAGATTAGTATTACAGAATGGAAAATTTTGTTGACTGAAAAATTCAATGGCAGTTGGCTCCTGAGGTGGATATTGAGCAAGTGGCACAAAAAACAGAAGGCTACAGTGGAGATGATCTAACAAACATCTGCAGAGATGCTTCCTTGAATGGCATGAGGCAGAAGATAGCTGGGAAAACCATACACGAGATCAAGAACATATTGAAATCAGAAATGCTGAAAATTCCAGTTACAATGGAAGACTTCCTAGAAGCTGTCGATAAAATAAAGCCCACAGTTTCTTCAGGGGACATTCAACGACATGAGAAATGGTACTCAGAGTTTGGATCATCATAGTAAATGAAAGTTCAAAAGTGCTGCTTTTTTTGTAAGAAATCAAATTGATCGTTGTGGACAAGCATCATTGTTGTAGCGTCAGATATTTTAGGAATTATTTTCGATAGATGATCCAATGTTGATGATACTACTACTGCTATATGGGCTCTTCCATGGCAAATTTCAATCGATATATAGCTCAAATCTTCAAAATGGTTTCAAAATTTTAGAGATGATATTCCCCTTTTCATATTTTGATTTTTTTTATATATTATTCACTCGAATGGATTCACTGAATTTATTCAATTCAGGAAACTTACTTGTGGAAATTTTCTTTCTTCTTTTCTGTCAATACATTTATTACTTTCTGAGTTTTTTTTCCAGCAATTTTTGTTCTCTTATACAAGAATAAGAAAGAAGGGAATTGAAGAAGAAGATGGAAATGAGAAGTGCTCAATAATGAATATGAATAAAAATAAGGGAAAAAGGATGAATATATCCTCGAACTATCGTAAATAGTATGCAGATACCTTCTGTCATACTTTAGGACATTAGTGCCCTTGCCAACGAAAAACTAGAGCATATATATCTTTCACTCTAAGGAAGACTAAATGGGGACACATGACACAATCCTATCCGTTGATAAATGTCGGATTGGTGAACAAGATTACGGCACATGTATTTCCGTTACTATAAAGAGTATACATGCTCTAGTTTTTGGAAAGCAGGGGTATCAATGTCCCAAAGTATGACGGAAACTATTTGCATACCATTGATGATAGTTCAGGGGTATATTTATCTTTTTTGCCTAAAAAAATAAGTGATAATTGAGTTGTTTCGGATAAAAAAAATTTTTGGTAGCCAATGTAAATTACCATTAACAAACAAAAACCAAATACACCTTAAGAGCACTCAATCCCCTACTCACCCTCTAAGGAAGGTATTAAGAGAGTCAAGCCTCATATAGAACTCTAATTACACAAATCTCTACAACAAACAACTATACTTATTTGCCTTTCTAGAATGTTTAACTATCTCAAGTCTATCTACAAAGTCCTTCTTAATTTGTGTCACAAACGTATCTGTATTTATAGTGATGCCTTCAAACAATTTCCAACGTATCTGAGTCTATTTAGAATATGTTTGGCAGTTCCTATCACAGACCAATGTTATATTTCATTTTGGACTCTCACTATCCATTCACAAGTAGAGAACATGTGAATATGTGTCTCCTCTACTGATTTCCCACACAAACTACAGGTGTCATCTTCCACGGGAATAGTTAATCTCTTGAATGTCTTTTTGGTTAATACTCTATCTTGCATAGCTAGTCATAATATGATCTATGCTTAGGTTGAAAAAATCTAGTCCGGATTAAGTCAGACACTCTAAGTTTAGCATGTTGCCCCAATAGTATATTATAACTCTGTATGAGTGAGTATTTTCCCTCGGGAGTGAGCAAGTAAGCACTAAATCAATACCAAAGTTGCGTCTCTGCTTTCAAGGCATTAACCCTTCTAGTACAAACTTGAGTCAAAATGGTGGAGTATTTATCCATATGTGGATAAAATATTTTAATTGAATGAATATTTTTGTAATTTTATTGGGGTAAGATGTTTTAGATGAAATGGACATTTTGCTATTTTTTCTTTCCTTTTATTTGGTAATAAAGACACATTAAAATAATTCAGATTTCATTAAGGTTGACAATTAGTAGGGATTGTGAGTAAATCCAAAGAAACTTATTTCCTTCTAATAAAAGAACTATATGTATATTTTATGTTTTGGGAAGTCATGATGTAGATTATACAAGTAATCTGGAAAATTAATTTATGCATCTAATAAATTCATAATTTCTTCTACTCATGCAACTATCAACCTTTCTGATTATATTGTTTGGAAAATGTATAAGTACCCCGAGACTATGATTGAAATTTTGGAGACACACTTTAACTAAACTAAGGTTCTATTACCCCTAACCTATTTTTTTTTTTGTAATTTCCCTTTTTGGCTTACGTGGCATCTAAATATCTCCACACGCCTCAATTGCGTGGAGTCACTGAGTATACCATGTAAGACAAAAGGTGTATAAAATTACAAAAGGAATAAGTTCAGAGGGTAATAGGACCTTAGTTTAGTTAAGTTGCGTCCCTGAGATTTTGATCAAAGTCTAAGAAGTACTTGTGCCTTATCCATAAATTGTTCATTATTTTTTTGATTATCGAGTTAAAATTGAATATTGATACACAATAAGTGGTGTCTTTGAATAATATTACAAAATGGATAAATAAAGAGAAAACAAATTGAAAATGAGACTAAACGGGCAGAAAGAGGCAGTGCTTGCTAGAGTGAGGTGGGATAAGCCAAATTTTCAAGAAATGTTAAATACTACCTCCCATTTTATGTGAGAACCTTTTCTTTTTAATCCGTCCCAAAAGAAATATCACCTTACTATTATTGGAAATGATTTAATTTTAAAATTTTTATTTTCCCTAAATGAAATGATTTTCAACTACACAAATATCTAAGGATTGGTCTAGACCATAAATTTCAAAAGGCTTCCCTTTTATCCTAAACACAATGTCAATTCAAAGGTAATACCTAAAAATAGGACGAAGGGAGTAGGATAGGACAAGGCGAGTCAGATTCTTAACAGGTCAAGCCTTTCTATATCACGCTCCACCCTGTCTAGCTCTAATTTCCATTAGGGAGACTTGCGTTGAAAACAAAGTTCGTACACATGGCGATTCTCTAAACCCTTAAGAAAAAAGTAGGAGCTTGTGTGTTTGGTATGAACAGAAATATTTTCCTAGAAAAATTTTTCTAGTAAAACAAGTTGGTTTTTAACTTATATTCTCATATTTGGTATGTGAATGAATAATCTTATTTAAAATGTTTCTAAATTATATTCTCATGTAAAATGTTTTACTAAAAAAAACTTCTACTGTTTGGTTGGTTGGATAAAAACACTCTTCAGAAAATATCTTTATTTTTTTGTCTAAAGTATAGATAGAAGTTTTTTGAAAAATAGTTTTTGACATGAAAACCAATCCCGATAATCTTTGACACCCAATACTAACGATCAATCTGGATCCGACCCCAACTTAACCCGTAAGCTGACTGACCCCGACATTCGATCCTAACCTAACCCGACCTCTTGACAAAAATGACCCTTCTAGAGATGATGCAACTGAAGGAATTCCAATCAGCGTCAGTGTATCAAGATATTGACTAAAATAAACTCTTCCAAGCATTAATCTTCCAAAACTCAAAACTCGCACCAAACTCAGTCGAACACCTTAGGGAGCTTGCCACCCAACGTAGGACCAGACACAAGCTATAAGAAAGCTATAGGAAGGAGAAAACAGGAAAATAACTCATAAAACAGAGAAATGATCCCGAGGGTCATTTTACGTCACATGTACAAAATATCGCGAACCCGAAGACCAAATATTACCAAGCGTTGGGCAGAATTGGAAATTCACCATTTTGATACCAAATTCAGTTTTTACACTCATGCACAACCATTAATGTGAACATTATTATTGTTTGTACTCATATGTTGATAGTTCTTAGCTTGCGGTTGCAAGCTTGGATATCAAGTTTTCTCACTATTCATCTTTTTGATTTAAGATTTGAATACTCCATTGTATTAAGTTTCACTCTTTCTTCATTGTCTTATTTTGAATTGCTTAAGTTGTAGGTGTAATTGATCATGGGAGAATTTGAGTTTTGTTATGTTGATTGACTTCTTTAGCTTTGTAATTGACTGAATGTGTCCCATTTATGAAATGGGTTTTTTATTACCTAATCAATTTTATAATTAATTGCTTTTCTAATGGATTTGATTACTCCATGGACTCGTCTGTTTATGTTGATTGATCTAGGTAGAGTCAATTGAGGTTGGTAATTATTATTTTTGCTTAATAAATGAAAATGCTTTATTTATTTATAAAGGATTGTCCGTACAAAAGGGAACTGATCTAGCTGAACCAATTGCATTAACTTCTCATTCTAGAATGTTAGTAGCAAATGAAGGAGATGCGTCAAAAATATATAGTTTGTTTACAATCATAGTAGGATCCTTAGTTTTCCTTCTGTATTCAGCTAAAGCATCAGCAACTCCATTAGCCTCTCTCAGAGTATGGTGGAGTATTGGTCCTTCCAATTGCTGGAGAAATGACATGCAATCAGCACATATGTTTGAGTACAAAGCATTATCAGTGTATATAGAATATAGAAGTACCCGTGAGTCGGTTTCCACCAACACTTTCTCTATACTTTTTGTTTTTGCTATTGTCAATCCATGTAGTAGGGCCAATAAATTTGCATGGTAAACACTGTCTACTTTAGTTTTACATTCAAATTTCGTAATCCGCTGCCATGATTGGTTCCTTATCCCCCGTCCGGTGCCACCTTTGTCTGTTTCAGGCTTAAAGGATCCATCAATGTTTAGTTTGAAATGGTCATCAGGTGGTTTTTGCCATGTGATAGGGATCCTATTTTTTTTTGGGTGGTTTTCCCAAAAATGTAACCGATGCATTAAAGCTCAAGGGTTTAGAAGAGGATAGTGTGCATAATTCCATTGACATCTTTAGAGGGTTGACACTTGAACAACTTATTATTTCTAATTCTCCAAATATTCTTATGAATAATTGGTGTAAGTATCATATATTTATATAAAAGAGAATCTTAGGCCCACTTATGTGACGTAACCACAAATCGGGATTCTCTTTTAACTTATTTATATTCAAAATTAGTCTTTTCTTTCATGTAAAGTTGTGACTTTTACAAAAAAATGTCACTTGCTATGAAAAGTTGTGACTTTTTATGAAAAGTTACGACTTTTACGAAGAGTTGCGACTTTTATGAAGAGTTGCAATTTTAATGAAGATTTGTGACTTGTATGAAGAGTTGCAACTTTTATAAAATATTGTGACTTTTATGAAAAATTGTGACTTTTCCAAAGAGTTGTGACCTTCTTGATAAGGCACAATAAGCATTTATTGATACTATCCTTTATTGTCTATAAATAGAGGAATTTCCTTGTATTTTAAGACAATGAAATTCTGAACTATTTCTTGTTCTTCTTCTGTGGAATTATATTCTTGTTCTTTGTTCATGTTGAATGACTGACTGATACTATTGTTTTTCTTTCAACACACTTGTGAATATTAACGCTATATCCTGAGAGGATCTATTTTTTTAAACTTCAGGTAGTAGAATGGACTAATTTCTTA